TTTCAGGTTCTCACCCTTCCGGTGTTACCTTTTCACCGCTAACGGCAGAATCTCAATCGAGCCTAGCCCCGCTGTAAGGTAGGCTCATCATCACATATGGGAAGCCATCATGAGATGAGTCCCCGACATCTCGCCGGATGCAGTCAGTCGTCTTTCCAGGTTTTGCTTGCGGCTAAAATGAATTCTGAATCGTATGGACCTCTGAGTCTTTTCTCAGCGAAAGAGACGAGCATATCTTCCCTGATGCGAATGTCGGATTCTCATGTACTCAGGGGCAACGTAAACAATCCGAGTCTACTATGGCAAGCCGAGGGGTATTTTGAACTTCCAATGACGCCTCTGTCTAAAGACAAGATATACTCCCTTGCTCTGAAGATGCCTAGATCCTATCGTCGCTGCGTCTATGCTAGCACCGCGTTCGCCCACCGTAGGGCCACTCTCGCAGATCAACGACCACACTGCATCGTACACGGCTCTTCCGTGTACGCTCAAAGGTCGACATCCGGGCCACTCCGATTAAACAGCCAGTTATCGACGTTGCCGTCCGTTATTTCTGCCGGTCGACTTTCCCCAGCGCCATGGCCTCCAACTCCTCCAAGCGCTGCTTCATACGGATCACTCGTCCTCCCATCTGCTTCGTCTGTGAATGATCATGTCCACTCAGTTCAATCAACATTTTGTAGGCCTTCTCGGCAAGAATGGTCGCGTGCCTGTAGCTATGCATCTCCGTGGCCAGGTTAGAGCCGCGGGAGAGCGCATGCAGCGGGCGCCAGTCAACGATGCCCTCTTCTCCGTACAGATCAAGCAACGTCCCGACGAGCTTGAGGTGGGCGCCGTTCGGCTTGCAATGTCGTCTGTGCTTCCAAGTACGGTACAGGTCTTTCTCGAGGGCGATAATCCGGCGTATGCGGTTGTCGCTTGCTTCTCGTTCCGCGAAAGGGAGGAGGCATAATGCGCAAGCACAGCGGAATTCATGAACTATCTGGAAGTGTTCCTGACGAAGTGCGTATTCGGCCACAGAGGAGGGATAGTAGCTGGTGATCTCTTCGCCGTCCTGGATATCACGGATCACGTGTGTTCGCAGCTCTCCACGTTCTTCTTCCCAAGAGTGCACGGTGTTGGGCATGCAGGAATGGTTGATTCGCGAGGCGAGCGGGAACAGGCCCGCCTCGTTGCCATCGTTGGTGAAGGGGATGGAGTTGGTCCAGATGATACCGACAACGGGATGGTCTTGCTTCCAGATGTTGGTCAGGCTGAGGACCTGGTCCTGATCGCTGATGGAAAGGCTGTTAAATTGGGCAATGGAGACAGTGGACTTGTCGGTCATGTGAGTTCTGATGAGAGGCGTGTCGGTGAGAATACGCTGGCCCCTTTTGAGCTGCCTGGTAGCGATCAAGCCCAATCCCTTGCCGGGGATGTCAGTGATGCGGTAGGTTGAGTTGCTTGCTGTGGAAACTGACGAGCCCTGGAGCATTGTCTCGTGGGCTTTGACTGTGAGGGCGAAGATACAGCCATGATCCTCACGAAATCGCATATTCGCAACGAGGGCCTGGAAAGGGCGGGGAACTGTTGTCGCCTAGACACGAAATAGGTAGCCTACTCAGCTAGTGATGGCAGAGGCGGTTTTTGTCGGAGTAAGGATAGTAGGATTGAGGCTCCGGCAATGGAAACTTGCGCTGCAATGCTTCGAAGAGTCGGGGGTATTGTTGAAGTATGCCGTAGTATGCGAAAGCAAGAGAGATACAGCTCCCGAGCTTGAAGAGTATGTGTTTGCTGGCGAGAGCGACTTGTTGCGCGGTTAGAGGGGATGCTTCGTTGAATTTGATTATAGAGTTTGCAAGGAGCAAGCACTTTCACAAGGCAATCAATCCTGAAGTGATGCCAAAGGAGACGGGGACGATCAGTTGAGGCGAGTCGAGATAGTTGTTACGAATGAGCCTCACCGACTAGGCTCCTTGCACAGGAGGCTTCCTGCCCGGAAGAAACCATCTCGACTTTGAGAAAGGAGAGAACTTCAATCTGCAACGCTTTAGAAGGCCAGCAGTGGTGATATCCGGTGGAAGTGAGGTCTGAAATAGCCTATTCCAGGCTTGTGTTTGCCGTTCGCTGATGTAAAACAGAAGTGGGCTCAACAAGTACAATCCCCTGGGTCAGTATTCCTAGCCCAGCAGAGTCAATAACCATCACGCTTCCTCAACAATACACAGCCTTAGCGCGAGTGAAATCTGCGAGTTGCCGAAGATGGAGTCGAGGCGCCGCGAGAGAACCAATCGTCGTCAGGAACAATGCTTCATTGTCGATATCGAAAGAACACTCGTCCTATGAGTGCCCTAGAAATTCTGAGCCATACCCACGGGAAAACCTTGCTCAAAACTGCGCGGACGCATCCGCACCAACAGTATCCCGCCATAACTGATCAAAGTCAACACCCTCCTTATCAAACAGCTCCCGGATCTTGTTCGCTGCCTTGTCCTGCTTCTCCTTGGTGAATCCACCCGGCGCGTCGGCCTCGTACTGCACAAGCTCCACCCATCGGTAGAAGAGATCCTCTTTCCCCAGCCGTGTCAACGCATCCCTGAACGCAAACAGCTGCCTCCGCTTCCCATCCTCGGCTGTGGACGCCTGCTTCTTCACGTCGTACTGCAGCCAACCGTGCTCTTCGGTGTGGAGCAGGACAATGGTGTTGAAAGCTTGAATGGCAATCTCCTTCTTGTCCACCAGCGTGTGTGCTGTGACCATGCCGGCCCAGTCGAGGTCCCACTGCCCATTCATGAGGAGGTAGCCCGTCTTCTGCTCCTGACGCATGGGGTTCGTTGCGTCAGCAATGTAATGGGTCAGGATCTTCATCGAGTCCTTGTCCACAAAGATGTTGCCGAGAGCAGTGTCCCATTCGCGAGAGCGGCGAACGTAGATTTCCTGCTGGCGAAAGCCGACGACCCAGCGCCACTGGCAAGGGTTTCCATGCTTCCATCCTGCCGCGAACTCGAGGGGCCAGGGCCAGACAAACACCACCAGGATAAAGTCAAAGAAGAAATTGAGCGCCCTGCCACCAATCTCCCAAGCGAGTTCGGCCCACGATGCCTCCTCGACCTTGATGGTAGCCTCGTTCACTTGGCCAAGACCGTTGGCCAGGAGCTGGATGTAGTAGGGCACAATCCACCACACGCGGAGACAGAAAAGGCCGACAATGGCAATGTTCATGAGCACGGGGACAACAAAGATCTTGCGCTTGAAGTCGGCAGGGTGGTTGTCGATGTGGGTAATGTAGACATGCTTGGGGGAGAGCGTGTCGATGAAGGGTTGGAGGACCTCGGAGGGCTTCTTGAATGGTGCGGGAAGCTTGCCATCCCCGTTCTTGGCGGTAGCGCCAGTCTTTGACTGGAACTTGGCAGCTCTCTTCGCAGGCGCCATGATGATTGCAGAGCCGGTACTTGTTGTGGTGTTGCTCCCTTGATGAGTGAGACTGGGAGGCAAGACGTCAGGTCAGAGCTTTTCAGGGTCCAGATGGAGGTGACGACAAAAAGGGTCTCTCTCACGCGCGCTTTGGTATCTGATGCTCTATGATCTTTCAGCGCACCTTTTTGAGAATCATGGATCCGAAAAAAAAAAAAAAAAAAAAAAAAAAAAAAAAAAAAAAAAAATTAATTATATTTGGTGGTTTTGGGGCAAAAAGATAGAAAACAAAAAAAATTTAAACGCGTTTTGGAGAAACAGGGGTGGGGGGGGGGTTTTGCGAGAAG